GAGAGAGAGAGAGAGAGAGAGAGAGAGAGAGAGAGAGAGAAACTATATGTAGGCGATAAACAACCGGACAAGAAGCTGGTGGGAATAAAGTAGTCAAATCAGTGTACCTCTCCTGGGCCATGTAATAATACAGTCAGTAAAAGACTATTAAACTGGCTTTATTAATTGTGCCTCAAAGAACTCAGGTGGCTTTTGCCTTTCACAGTGCCTTCCTTAAGAATATTTTCTTGTGTCCTCTCCTGTTCCTCCCCTTTGTGCTTTCTCTTTCCCTCACATTTAAAACTTATCAGACTCCCATCTCACCCCTACCTTAGAACTGAAGAATCTATTAGCCAATAAATGGCTGTTGGGCCTTTAAGGCCAAAGTGCTAAGTGTTTGAAGAGGGTGTGGGAAAGACACAAAGATTAACTATTGCTGGAGCCCTCTTCTCTGTTTTGGCTTTGGGCAGGGTCAGTTTCTGTGGCTTTAGCAGCCTCCCACTTTTTTTCTTCCGGAGCTAGCAGAGACTTGCCTTTGGGTTGCTGGAATATGTACACCTTTGACACTAGGTTAAATAATACTGCTGGGAGGATTTTGTGAAATCAGAATCCTGTACACAGGTGAAACAAACAGATAGTATGAGGAACCTTTAATTATTAACCTACTGTGGATGATTCCGAGGAATTCAAATTCCACACAAATTCCAGGGATCTTATTTCAGGCATGAGCTGTTTGAGGTACCAAATTCTGGCATAAATGACCTTTTCTTGTGGTAGACCATATAGGCCCTTGTGGGAAATTACTTAGTCTTACTTACATGTTCGAGAGCAAGCATGTTTTCTACTCAAAAGAAAGATTTCCAGTCTGACTTGAATTATCCCAATGAGAGCCCATTACTGCATAAGTCAGCCTCGCTTCCTTAGTTGATCTTTCCAACTATATAAACAAAAATTAATCTTGCTGTGAAAAAGTTTATTTAGTGAGCTAGGGACAGGGCTTGAGATAGAGTCCGATGATCAGCCATATTGATAAGAATTAAAATAAGAATAAACAGTGAACTAGGACCTTTGGTCGGAGAGAAAGAATGTCCTCAGGCAACAGGGAATCCAGCCCCCTCCCTACTCGAGGGAGTTTCAACCCTTCCCTACCAAGCTCCTGAATGTCCAGGAATTTAAAATGCAAAATAACCAGTTTTTCTTTAAAATGCCACTTTCCCTTAAACCCTATTTGCTGAGTAGCCTGACTAACGATTGGTCATTTTTATTTCACAGAACTGCCTGTGACAGTTGAGCAGTTCTCGTGCTCCACATATCCATGAAAAATAATGGACTGAGGGGCCATGTGTAATTTTCACTTTTCAGATTTCCCTGCTGGAGAAACTAGGAGCCTTTCTTCTTCACCTAATTTTCAATAAAAACTCTGCTAACCTCTTCCTTTAGTTTGCGACTTCATTCACCCAATGGGTGAGATCGTGGGCTTGATTTGTACAGAATTAACTGTTGCATTGCTTTCTCACCCTGCAGCCTGCATCTTTTCTAGAGTTCCCATTTTTCCTACCCAGTTCTGCTTTACTACTTCACTACTCTATACAGCATCTCAATTCCAATCAATCAACAAGTCCTATTGAATGTACCTATTTCCACTGCAGCACCCTAAAATAAGGTTCCAATAGTTTGCACCTAGAGAATCGTAAAACTCCTTAGCTGCATTCCCAAATAGACTGTCTCTTCTCTCTTCATTGTCTACATTCTAAAGAGAGTTGTAATGCATAGCAATCGTGTTACCCAACAATGGGTTCCTTTTGTTATCAGGATAAAGTCCCACATTCTTAAGTGTGTCTTTCATAACGCTTCACAATCTGGGCCCTTCCATGTCATCAGCTTCAGCTCTCACTATGATATAGGGTGATATCATACCACTATGATGAGACAGGACCTCCAAATAATCCAAGGAACATAAGGGAAACATATCTCTCAACTTGCTAGATGTCTGATACACCGAGTTTGTGTTCTCTAAAATCAAGGAATAATCACTTCTCGACCTTTTGGCTAAGATCAAGTATAAAATCAAGGAATGAATTCTAGGAATAATGGCGGTTAGGAGTAGGAAATATTTATTGAAAGAAAGATAGCTTCTAAGAGAGATAGAGGGGGTCCCAAATGGGTGGTCCTAGGGACACCCATCCCTTCTCAAGGGAATTTTATAAAACAAAGAAAGGAAGCCGGGGGGATGTAAGGTGGGAGAAAACTATATATCAACTAATAAGATTACAAATATAATTGTTTCAATGACATTGATCCAATGGGAAATCACAAGGCAGTTATAAGATGGGACAAAACTATGGTCAACGCCAAGCAAGTGTACCTGGACCGAACAAGCACTTTTCCTGGAAGGGAGGGGCCGGGGAGGTTTTGGTCCCTCCCCCACCAAGGTGTTTGATGCTTATTTAGAGTACCAGTCCCTACTGTTCATCCTTAGGGTAAGTATGTGGGTGTCATCATTTCTCTGTCTTGAAGCCTGACCTTCAGGGAATGCCTCTTCAGCCATAGCTGAAGAAGCAACTATGCATAGTTAGAAAAGGACTGACCTTTGCTGAGGAGCTGGCCCTGTCTTACTGCCTATAATTTTTTTTTTTTTTTTTTTACTATTTCTAAATAACTTAACTAAATAACTACTCTTCAAGGAACATGCAAATCATAAAGTCTTGCTTTTACTTCTAAACTGCCATACTTTTTCTGCATATTGTTCCTTCTGTGAAGAAATACTTCATTCCTTGGCTAATTCCCTTCTCCATCCTCAGATCTCCTTTTACATATACAATATACTTAGGATATATAATGTATATACAATGTATACGTATGTGTATATTATATATATGCGAGTTTTATTGAGTTGTAAGTCACATACTATACAATTCACTCATT